GGTGCAGGGGATTGCAATCCACGTGCCCTCCTGCGTACATGCTACGGGGGGTGCGTCGTGGTGCCCGCGTACTTTGTCTACGATGCTGAGCTGTCGGCTCGCTCGTATCCGGAGGGGTATGTGGGCACCCCATGTCAGTATATAAGGCTGGGGGCACCTTATCTCGTGTCGGGCAAACACCCTTTTTACAAATTCAATAATTATTTTATCTCATCAAAACGACCCAACTGAGTTATTTAAAACTCGAAAATTAACCTTAATTTGCTGGAGAACCAAAATTTTAGCTGAATTCCAGTTTTAAATCACAGGGGAAGGTAACCCAAATTAACCTTCATTTCTGGAAAAATGTAGCTTCAGGGCTCCAGAGCTCCGAAGCTACATTTCTGTTCCGGAAAACAGCCCCGGTGTTGGTTCCTCCAACATACCCGATCGATCACGCGTGTTGGCCCCCCCACGCGGCACTGGAGCCCGTATCTTATCGGGACTTGATCGGGCTGCCGCACGTTCAGCGGACAGCCGGTGAGGGTGTTGTGCGTCTGCATACCATGGCGTACTGTTACGAGAATCTTCGTATGCAGATGGACGCCACCAATCACCCGATGACAGGAGAAACACAACAACAGCAGCACCCGCCCCAAGAAACCCAACGAAGCGAGGTACAGCAGGGTGAGCGCCTTCGCTGCGAGGCGCGGCAGTCGCCATCGGTGGAACAGCAGCTTGGGCGTCCCGTGGCAGATGCGGTCGCAGAGAGGTTGCAGCATCAGCAGAGAGACTACCGTCGACGCCACCCCCTTCGCTGTTGCGCTCAGCAACCCCAGCAGGAGGAGGCTGGGAAGACCTCGATTCATCCGTGTGCAGCAGTGGTGCTGGTTGTGCCGTTGGTGGTAGCGAGTTCTTGACAGTCTCGCGTTTTACCACCCTCCCGAGATTTAAATCACCCGGGCATTACACCCAAATTTACCTTCCCCTGTTTCTGAACCAAAAAGTGGAGCGGACCTTCATTTCGAGTTTTAAATAACTCAAACGAATTATTGAACTATTTCGGTTTGGAGCCACGCGAACCAAGGTTCTGAAGCAAATTTACTATTAGAACCTGTTTTCGACTTGACGGACTTTGGTAAGTGTTGTGAAAGCTTCTGGAGACACGGCAAGCATGGCCCAAGCCGCTTAAACACCCCGACAGAATATGCACACACCGCACAACACTATTTACGCATATGACGTACGCATCATGACAAACAAGCGAGTGGGGAAAGAAGCGCACGTTGTCACCCCGCAGAAGAAGATGCATACGCATGAGTTATCACAGACCTCCTCCCTTGTACCGGTGAAAAAAAAGAACACGTCCACAGGTAGCTAGCTATAGAGTAGACTGACAAGTCTGTGAAATAGATAAGGAGTCTGTAGTAAACTTGAACGTCTTCTCAACCTGGTCGGGGACGTGACGGTGATGGTCTCTTCGGCTTGGGCCTCGACAAGGGCAGCTCCTTCCACCAGGCACCCTACCGCTGCTGCTGTTGCCCACGCCGCCACCACGAGCGTAGGATCAATCCAACGGACGATACGGGGAGGCGAGCAAGATTAAACAAGGCACCGGCAACACACCCGATCGCACTTCAAGTTTTCAGAAACACTCCCTGACAAAAGGGGAGTGAATTGCCGCTTCTCGCCCTCTACGTGTGTGTCGCTTTGGTCACTATGGCCACTAGTGCCGCGAGAGTACCTACTCGGTTTGACCAAGGTCCAATTTTCCGTCGTTGAATTTCATACAGCAGTTCCGAGTGGACAAATAAAAAGGGACTCCTCTTTGGTGCTAACAGCGGCTGCTGTTTAGATGCAAACAGGAAAATATTTATGACAGCTCTTGGCATGGGCGCATTCCTCAGGGGTATGCAGAGGCAGGGTGCGTTCCCGGACGGTCAGCCGCAGACCACGATACGGCGTATGGATTTCGAGGAACGCGTCGTCGGACTGTTTGTTTATGGAGTCGCCGCCGGTGACGGCCCTCTCTGAATCGCTTGATTGTTGATAGGTGAGGCTGCACTACTGGACCTGAAATTTGCCAGTGAATTATTCTCAATTGCTCTCGTCCAGTCGACAGCAGTCAGTCAGTCAACAGTAGTCGACAACAAACTGGACTGGGGAGTGTTACCTTATGGGGAAAGAATCAATCACCGAGGAAATACAAGATTTAGCGGCTGCTGCTTAGTGTGATCATAGACACGACTCTCACCTAGCAAACCTGTCCCCCAATTCAGATTTCGCCCTTTCCTTTGTGTGCGAAAGGGCTTCCTGCTGCCCTCCTCGTTGGCCTCCGACACCATGTCCCGTTCAAGTAAGGTCATGAGGTAGCGAACAGGGGCGTAAATTTGTCGCGCTCCTTGCAGATTGCTCGCGCTGTCCGCGGCAGCAATGCCTCTGGAGACAAAGGGTGTGCCTCGCTTGGGGGATGGGTGCTTGTTCGGGTTTTCGGTGGATGTTGGCGGGCCCAACGCAGCAGAGAGGGGAGCCAAGGGAGACGCTGCGCCCTGTGGCGGTAGGACTCCTGTTCTGTGTTGTGCCACCTCTGGCGACCTAGCTAGGGGGGGGGGCACCGCGACATTTTTGGAACAGTTTCTGGATGGTACAACGAAACCTCACCAGTTCCCGCCAACGATCATCTCTGTGTGCATGCGGCAACGAGAACGGACACAAAGTAGCGCCGCTCTGCTCGGAGCATCCGCTGGTGCCGAATCTCGTGCCATGTACCAGATCACTCATGCCGGGGGCAAAGGAGGCAGCAAGGTTTACTTTTCATCGGAATGCAATATCTTCAACGTCCCCAGTGGAATGCAAGGTACACAGCAGCAGTAGTAGTTATCTTGCACCGAGGCACAACCACCGAGGACCTTCTTCAAGTTTTATACCGCTCGTCCCAGCCAGTTGAGATGTTAGGGTTAGGTCATGACTTACGTGTGTTATGGTACTATAGACTCACCGAGAAGCGAGGACAGGGTGGCATCACAGACGTCCTACATTCCGCAAGACCTTTGCTCTGTCGCATCATCAAGCATCAACGCCGGATGCGGAAAGAGCGGCGCCACTTGTCTGTCCCCGACTGCTGTTGGTGAGCTGTGCCGCGGCAGTACTATCATTACCTAGGTACGGGGGGGTAATGAGCCGCGTGGTGTGACTGAATACGTTGCAGTTGTTTTATTTGCGATCCTGATGGTGCAAGAATCCCGACACACACCAGCGTGAATCGTTTGTGGTGCAGCTACGCGTGCACCACAGAGGGACAGCAGGCGTGCGACGGGAGCGACGTAGGCCTGTCCTCCATCGGCCGTTTTATTTTCGATTTAGATACACAAACTTTATTTCTATACTAATTTCAAGTAATTCCACCTTCTTATTCTCCGTCATACAAGCAAAACGGCCGATGGAGGACAGGCCTAGAGCGACGATGAATGTACGTGCCGCCACCGTTCAAAATTTTGCACTTTACATGCGGCTGTTTGTTTCTGTTTTGATGCAATGCGGACGCAAACAAACACACACGTCACGTACATCTGGGCATCTGGAAGAAGCATACATGCGGCATCCCCCTGGAGGCTAGCGTATCACGCATAACATCACACCGTTCAGGAACACGACCGGCAGCGTTGACACAGGATTGTGACACGACAGATGGCAGATATATCGTCAGGCTCACAACTTACCCGCCACATTCGTGAGCGTCTCAAGCCTTCCGAGTTTCCCGCCCGAGCGAAAGCAAGCAGTCCAGCGTGAACCAAAAACAACAAAAACCGTTGGTCATATTACGTCATGACTTTGATGCTGGAGGCTGAGAGGCCGTACAGGGCGGCGGCAGCAACAACAGCATGCAGGGCACGGCTTTCGATGCGAAGACCATCAGTAGCGCGGCGCTAGTACGCAATCTGAACCAATCCCGCGGGAACCATCCTGACGAAACACACAGCAGCAGCAGTAGTAGACCCTCACCCCCTTCGACGGATTTCTCGATGATGGTAGGTGTGATCTGGACTTGGGGAGGTGTTTTTTGTGTGATCATCGGTCTGCTCTTGTGAAGCAGTTGGTATGACCCACTCAACAGCAGTAATCAATACCCGCCAGGTTACACATGGCGCATGCCTACAGTACACCCACGGTGCACAGGTCGGAAAGGCCCAGCCCCTCCTGGTTTTCATAGCTGATCTCAGACAAGCGTCTCAGCGGTGATGCGTTCGTTGGTGGTGTTCTTGCGTCTCTGTCGGTCTGTCGGTGCTTCTTGTCCTGGACTGAATCGCGCATGCCCGCGATCTCCGCTTTTGTGCACGCCTACTCGCATTGAAGTCCCGGGGTTGGGGAACACAATCTCCTACGAATGTAGACTACTAATGTTGATCAAGCACGACCATCTGCTCTCGGAGCACGACGAAACCGGTGTGGATAAGAGCGTGCTATGTTTCTTCTTCCTCAGAAGCGAGCAGATCGTCAATCAGTGCCCTGTAGATCTCGTTCTGGTTCCAAAGATGTGCTAAATAGACTTCCCGGAAACCACGTGTTGGGGCCCCTGTATCGCCCGGCGCAACTTTGGTTATATACTTGTAGAGCCTTGTTTTCCTTCTGGGGACGAACGGAAAAAATGTCGCTCGCTTCGCTCGCGCCGCGGCTCAGAACTGAACTGCAGTTTGGTGTAATGGCCAGGTACTCTGTAGACAAACAGCAGTATACAGAAGTACAGCAGTGGCCTACCGGTACACAAGGTAGGTGGCGTGCAGATGGAAGTGGCGCAGAAGAAGGAACAAGAGTGCGCACCCCCCGGTCATTCTTCTTGGTATCGGTAATCATGTTGTTGTTGTTGTTGACTTCACATTAAACCGTATGCCAGTGTGGAACGGTATTAACGCTTCCGAAAAGTCTTGCAGTTTTCAACGCAACGAACGTTGAAAAGAAAAGCCGACTTTGTTTCGCTTTTCGCTTGTTCTATTCGTCGTGATGTCATCGCAAAAAGCGTTTCCTTCCCTGAATACACGTTTTCTTTGCTCGGCACTCGACAGGTTGACTTGGTGTTGGTCACCATAAATCAGCGGTAAAAGCGCAATGAGCAGCACCCGACACGGAGGACAACAGACTTTTTCAGCAATAACAACAGGCGCAGGGCAGATTATCGCAACCTGGGTGTTGCTTGCGATTACTTCAGTTTGTCGGCTCATTTTTCACGGTTGGTTGCGACTCCCATCTTTGACCACCAACTGCCCAAAGGTAGACGAGCTCAACAATCATAGGGCGGCAGCCGCGCTGACAGCAGCATCATATAGATGACCAATCCGAAAGAATAAGCGTGTCGGAGGCCCTGTTGCTCTTCTGCTGCGTGGTGCCGTGGATTGATGTTGACGTGTCCGACCAAAAATAGATTATCTCGCCGCATTTATTTTTTCCAACGGCATTTTGGTGAGGCTGCACACGTCTCTCACACACCTTATCGAGCAGCACCCAAGCACTTAATACCCACGAAGCAGCACGATGCCGGGAGATGGTGTCATATGGACAGCCGAACCGAAGGAATCCACGCGTTGGAGGTCTTGGTGCTGCTGCTGTACTCGTTTTACTGCTGTTTTCGTGTTGGCTATGTGTGATAAAAAAAAGAAACAGCACCAACAACAACAACAGCAGCAGCAGCAGCAGCAGCAGCAGTTTTGAAGCCAAGAGCACTACTAATTCGCATTGTCTAGTTTTGGACCAAGAACGGACTGAACGCCGCTTCTGCCGCTTGTCCATCTCCACAACAGACGTGGATGTGAGTCTGGCAGGTCTTTATAGCGTGATGTTACAGCTACCGCGGTGCGCTTGTCCGATGCTTCTTCTGTCCAAAACACGGATCCGTGAAAGTAGCAAGCCCAAAAAATCCCGGCTCCTTTTTTTCACGTTTGCGGGAAAAAACGCCTCCATATATGTTCCAAGAATAACTTTTCCGTGAAATGTTCCGTGATATTTTGGCCGTTAATAATACCCCTAAATGATGTGAGAACAGATTCTAGATACATACATACACGTTGGCAAACCTTGCGGCCAAAGGAGCGCCTTCTTTGTGGAGGACATTGCACCGCCGTGGGCCGTTCATTTAATTATGCACCGTCTTGCTCGCATTCTCAACGTCTCGACGCACGGGATGGTCTTGACTACATTATATATATATATTACGTGCCATCTTACAGAGCACACCTACTACCTGCTGTTTCCTATGTTTGCAGGCCTCCAAAGCACTACACTACTGCTGTAAAGTAGGTCATTTCTCCGCTAACCGCGAGATAATACAGTTGGCGCCCGCAGTTAAGAAACGCTTATTTCAGTTCCAGCCTCGAATTCTTACTGTGGGCTATAAACTCAGCGTATGTATGTATGTCGTTCAGTTTCTTATTTCAAGTTTTTTATTTTTTCGTGCAGCCAAACCCTGCTGAATGAATTTCTGAAATCGGCAATTTCTTATTTCTCTGCTTGCATACTACACAACGTTCCAATTATACGATCTCTGAGGGTGACCAGCTTGGTCAAGCCCTCACGAGAGCTGGCGGAGAGAACCATCAAAGCCATGTACAGCAGACAGCATGTCGTGGTTCGCAGCCTGTCTGGTGTGCTGTGCCAAATAAAGCTTTAACGACAGCAGCAGAGAAGGTGGCAGAGCCCGCAAGGAGGCCGGAGGGGGCGCCGCAAAACAAAACACTCCCCCCTCGTCGTACAACTAATAACAACAATGCACTATGGGACGGGGGGGTCGGGGGAGAGGGGGAAAGAGCGAGAGAGCTGTGGGGTTTGTTTCTTATTCGACACACTGTAACAGTGGTTATAACGCCGCTATCGCTTACGGTAGTTCACTCATGTGTTAGCGTAACAAGCACTGGCTAGGGTTCAATTAGTTTCGTCCATTTCATGGTTGGTTTCATCCATTTCATGGTCAGTTTCATGGTATCTTACCATTTGAGTCAAGGGGGGGCTAGTCAAGGTGGGTCTAATCAAGGAGGGACTAATCAAGGTGGGGCTAGCAAGGGGGGTCTACCTTGGCATGCACCTTAGCGTGGGTCAAAGTTCCTTTTCCGATATTGGCCGTGTTAACAGTGAGCGATCACCCGAAACACGAGTTAGGACGGAGCTCTTGAGGGGCTCCGCCAATGATTCAGGTACACCCTGGGGTATACCCTAGCCCTCCTCAAACTATCGTGAAACGGAATGAATCTTCCGCTTTAGCGTCCGTTCATGCTACCGTGACACCCCCCCAACATTTATGTGTTGAAAAACACAAAAATGCTAAGGAGGTAGCAGAACGCGCTGTTCTCCCTCCTCAGATCATACCACGCCGGGAATGTAGATCTGAGCAGGGAGGGTGCCGTCCTCCCCAGATTAAACCACAAAAATGGGTTTAACCTAGAAGAGAGAACGGATGCCGGTGTAGTCGATGTCGATGTTCCATTACTAAAATCATCGAACTCGAATTACGGCCGTTAGTACTTTGGCCGCCGTACACCGGCCTCCCTGATGACGACGGTCTTGAACTGAAGAAAAGACGATCG